TTGATGCTTAGATATGGTGTTCTGGCTTTTTTGACTAATGCTCTAAACTGTTACCAATCACCCAACTAAATTCATTCTCTCTCTCTCTCTCTCTCTCTCTCTCTCTCTCTCTCTCTCTCTCTCATTATCTTCCTTCTAGAATCCTTCTCTGCTATGATTCAGTATTCAAACCTGTCCTTTTGTACTAAAATGTAGCTGAAGTTTTCCTGTGTCCTGCCTGGTCCGCAGCTGCTCAGATGCAAGTAAACACACAGAGGCTTATATTAATTAAAACTGCTCGGCCATTAGCTCAGGCTTTCTACTGACTAGCTCTTACACTTAAACTCAGTCCATTTCTGTTAATCTATATTTCTCCACATGTTCCGTGGCTTTACCTGTGTGCCATTACATGCTGCTCCCTAGACAGTGGGCTGGTGTCTCTTCACTCAGCCTTCCTCTTCCCAGAATTCTCCTTGTCTGCTTATCCTGCCTATACTTCCTGCCTGGCTACTGACCAATCAGTGTTTTATTAAAACAGTGTGCAAAAGCATTATCCCACAGCACTAAAATGTTTCTACATCCCCCATTCTCTGCTTTGTTCTGTGTGGGTGCATGTGTGTGTGTAGTATATGCAAATGTGTGTACCCATGCACTTGCATACAGAGGCCACAAAAGGATGTCAGGTATCTTACTCTATTACTAGCCACCTTATTCCCTTCAGACAGGGTCTCTCACAGAACCTAGAGCTTTCATTTCAGCCAGGCTGGCCAGCCATTAAAATGTTGGGATGCTCTTTCTCTCTTCCAATGCTGGAGTTACAAGCATGTGTAACTCCAATGTGGCCACACCAATTTTTTTTTGCATGAGTGCTGGGGATTAACACCCAGGTCCTAATGCTTGCACAGCAAATCCTTTTACCCACTGAGCTATCTTTCCACACTGCTCTGAATGTGTTACTTAATATACCTCAAAACTAGGAAGGAATTTGCTCCTTTTCCTTACTGATTCATGAACATTTTTCTCATACTTTCCCCCAAACTATAGAGTCTGTTCCCATTTCAACTGGAAGCTCATATTACCCCATGTGTACGAATTCCAGGAAATTTCAAAACAGCAAACTAAAGCCCTGTGACTGTGCTGCAGCACTACTGTTATCCATGTTGGCCTAATGGGCAGACCTAGCTGAGGGTGCCTACCTGCACACATTCACTCTGGATAGCTGAGGGTGCCTACCTGCACACATTCACTCTGGATAGCTGAGGGTGCCTACCTGC